GCCCTAATGGTATGCAAAATCATTGCACAATGGGGATGTAACCCAAACATACTGCGATGGATGTATAACACAATAGTGAGACCAATCATCACTTACGGGGCTATAGCCTGGAGTAACATAACTAGTTTAGCTGCTACAAAAGCTAATATCTCAAAAGTACTAGCCTGTGTTTGCATTACTGGTGCAATGAGAACCTGTCCTACGGCCGCAATGGAGGTGATCTTAAACTTCGCCCGTCTACATTTGACGATAGAGAATGTGGCAAAAAGGACATGATATAGAATGATCAAGAACGGAGTAATCAGACCAAAGTCTACTTGTTTCAGCACTAAAGATGCCTGGGACATGCCCCAGGATGAAATGCTAAAAAAGTACAGTTTTGTGAAAAACTTCAAAACTGCAGAGTTGGGCTGCAAGAAAGAATGGAGCCAAGAATCCATCGCGTTTGCAACCGAAAGACATGCTATTCAGTGGTTTACAGACGGTTCCAAAACCATAGACGGAACTGGAATAGGAGTGTACGGGCCGAGAACCAAGCACTCCGAAAGCTTGGGGAAATACCCAAGCATCTTCCAGACGGAAATTAACGCCATCGAGAAGTGTACCCAGTTTAACATCGAGAGGAACTATCATAGACAAGAGATTATCATCATGTCCGATAGTCAAGCGGCCATCAAGCTCAAAAATAATCTGCAGATGCCTAAAATAATTGAATGAGCTAGGCGAGAAAAATAGAGTTACTTCCACTTGAGTCTAGGGATATAACGGGGTACAGAATAACGAGATTGCAGATAGTCTTGCAAGGAAAGGGGCTCAAACACCCTTTCTAGGACCTGATCCGTTCTGCGGTATCAGCAGTAACATAATATTAGAATAGATTAAAAAATAATTGGGCAGTAGAAGAACCGATAATTGGAACAATCTCTTGGGGCTGAGACAGGCCAAGATACTTCTGGGTGAATATAACCAGAAGAGATCGAAAGCCTGCATCTGCCTGAGCAAGAATAGGCTACGTATTGTAACAGGGATCCTTACTAGGCATTGCCGACTAAAAGGACACCTAGTGAGTGCAGATTCTGTAAGGAGGAGAACGGAACCTCCATTCACATTCTAACTGAATGTGTAGCTCTCCAGAATCCAAGGGCACTATATCTAGGAGGATATCAAATAGAAGAGGAAGATTTACCTAACTTGAAGCCACTTTAAATTCTACATTTTCTTGAGAAAATAGGATTGGAAAGATCGTTATAGGCATTGAGATATTTCCTGGGTGCATTGGCGACAGAAGGAGGCACAATAGATCTTTTAGGTCGCAGTGTATTAACACCCCATTCCCAACATAACATAACTTAAGGCAGGAAGATTAGTATATGTGGGGTATACAATAGTTGGTGTGTGCAATAGAGACTCATATAATATGTATTGATTAATTGGGAAATGAATATGTTTGTTAATAAAATAATCGTCAGAATTGGTATTAACAAAGGCATCAGACAATGGAGGCGGATTTTTAATCTGCCAATAATGTAGGGCTAAATTGCAAGTAATAAGTAGGTCAATTTTAGATACCATACTTGTATTAAATGATCGGTATTTGATTATCTGTTTTTCTGCTAAAAATTGTCTACGGAGCGATAAAGGGGGTTCTTGTATTTCAGCCAATACTGCCTGATTAGGTGAGGACATCATAACTCGCAAACATATTTTCAGGGATTTATACTGAACACGATATATGGTTAACAAGTTCGTTTTTGACGACGTACCATATAATGTACATCCATAGTCCAAAATCGAACGTATGTATGACCTATAGAAAATCAGGGAAATGTTAGTATCTGCTCCAAATTTTTGTTTTGAAATAACTCTAAGAAGATTGATTCCCTTTTCACATTTCTGCTTTACATACTTGATATGGTTTGTCCATAATAATTTTTTATCCAATAAATAAGTCAAAACAAAAATTTATTACTATACGAAATCTAAAAAATATTAACATTGATCGTTTTAAAAGGGATCTACACTCAATATTCTGGGATGAAATATTTTATATAGAAAATGTTAATGATAAAGTAAGATTTTTAAATAATCACATTAATGGTATTTTCAACAAACATGCTCCTATTAGAACTATTAGAGTTAGTAAACACCCAGCACCCTGCCTTACGGATAATCTAAAATTTATTCTTAAAGAACGTGACAAGGCGCTTTCTAAATTCAAATCGAATAAAACATCTGATAACTGGAATCATTACAAAGAGTGTCGGAATTATGCTCTGGCATCAATTAGGAGAGAAAAGACATCATAATATCCATCTAAGCTGCAGAGTGATAAAAATGATAAAATGTTGTGGCAAAGTTTACGTAATATGAATATTCGATCAGCAATTGTTAACGATGATTTACCTTCGTCTTTACGTAATCCCAATGACATAAATGATTATTTTATTAGTGTTTTTAAAAAAACTGACAGTTGTCGTAAAAAAATAAATTTTTATTCAAATAGTCAATTTAATGATATCTTTAAATTTTTACTTGTAAATCAAGTTACAGTTCTTGATTCAATAAATTTAATAAAATCGAATGCCTGTGGAAATGATGGCGTATCACTGTATATGTTGAATTTATGCTTACTACAATTCTTGATCATATTACTTATATTATTGATTGTTGCCTACGGTGCGGATATTTTCCTAAAGCCTGGCGTGAGTCTATAATTCGTCCGATTCCTAAGATTTCTAAGCCTAGTTCTATCCGTGAGTTATGTCCAATAAGTTTATTACCTGTCGTATCAAAAATACTTGAGAGAGTTATCTGTACTCAGCTGTATAATTACTTCACAATTAAAAATATTCTTCCTACCCAACAATCAGGTTTTCTAAAAGATCATAGTACTACCACTACCATGCTAAATCTTACCGACAATATATTAGTGTTGTTTTAATCGCTTTGGACTATTCCAATGCCTTTGACTTAATAGATCACGACTTGTTATGTGCTAAACTTAAATACTATGGAGCGATGATGTTGTTTTATCTTTTTTTAAGACCCATATATGCAACCGTACTCAACGCGTGTCCATCAATGACAGCTTATCATCCTTCAAAAATATATTTTCAGGTGTACCTCAAGGGTCTATTTTAGGTCCTTTATTGTTTCTTATTTACACCTCAGATTTTCCACGGGTACCGAATAATAGTCAATTACAACTCTATGCCGATGATATCCAGCTCTTACATTGCTTTGAATCTCTTAATATTCATAATACCAATAATTCAATTAATGCTGACTTGCAATTGATTTTTCAGTATTCTACAGAACACAATTTAAGTATAAATCCATCTAAAACCACTGAGGTTCTATTCTGTAGCAAAACTAAACGGGATGAAATCAAAAAAATTCGTTGTTAGAGCTGAATGGTGTTGAAATAAACCTATCTGTCGATGCTAAAAATTTAGGCCTAATTATTGATAAAAATCTTAGGTTTAAAAATCATATAAAAGCAATTCTTCAAAAGTATTATGTAAAGATGCGGTTATTATATGTAAATAAAAATATTTTAAACTTTAAAATGCGTAAAAAGCTTTGTGAAACTCTCGTACTATCTACAATGAACTATGGTATTCCGATTTATTTTCCCTGTTTAGATAAAGTCTCTTAAAACCATCTCCAACGTGTTCAAAACAATTGTTGTAGATACATTTTTAATCAGTTTATGGATAAATGTTTTGTTTCAAATTACCTTTCTATTACTTTTATATTGATTAGTAAAAACACATAAGCCTGTCTATTTATTTGAGAAACTTTTATTTAGGAGCTCTATGCATGCTTGTAGCATTAGACATAAACACCCTTACAATGCCTCACCACTCATCTGCAATGTTCGAAAGGTCTTTTACTTATAACGCCGTCAAATTGTATAACTCTTAACTTTTTAAACTGGAAGAAATCGTGATATTTCTTTAGGCGAATTGCAAAAGAACATTTTTTAGCTAGACAGTAGCCTTTTTGTTTGTTAATCATATTTTTCAATAATCCTATTTTCAATATTTATTTATTTATTTTTTTTTCGTTAAAAAGAGTATTTTTTTTTTGTATTTGCTATTATTATGTAATTCTAGAAGGTTAAGAGTTAAAGAATAGCTTTAAGCTAATCTTCGCCTTCTAGATTCAAATGTATTGTACATTTAACAAATAAAGACATTTTATTATTATTATTACTTTTAATGAAAACGTTCATTAAATAATCACTTTTTCCTAGCCTATGTTTTTTTATTATGAAAGTAAAAATCAGTAAAAATCTCGGAGCTCTATTTTTTATTTCTTTCTTCATATAAATCTAAATATATTTAAAGTAAATCCAAGCCGACTCTGACCGTTCCATTTGTCACCAAAATTTGCCAGATCTAATGTAATTTCTCGAGAGTTACACTTTGGTGTATTCAGTGCTTAGAATATGTGGCTCATTGAAATTTTCGAGAATGACAACTTGAAACGAGTGATACTCGGTATAATAATAAAGGACCCTGAGCTTTTCTTATGCAAAATGGCTTTCCCTCGAATATCATAAATTTTGGATATATTGCAGTAGACCAAATACGAGCCCTAACCACTGTTCGGTCTTTTTTATAATTTATAACTCTAATATTTATGAAAGATACAGTTATTTAAAAAAGATTTACTTTGATTTTACAGTCGCTAGTGTTTCGAGTATTTATGAGGGCATAATGTCCTTATATTTTTTAAAATTTTAAATGGTGGACAATTACAAACAACTTAAATAAAAAAGTAAGTAATTTATGTCTTAAATGTGTCTTATGTAGCGCCTCTTATTAAATAGATCAATATTAATAAGAAATTATAAATTTATCATCCAATTATCAATCTTTTATTAAGCCCAGTTGGATAAAATCGTAATATTCTGAAGTCAAAAATCTACTATACAATTACTTAAGGACCACCCTGTATAAATCGATAAGTTAGAAAACAATGTTATAACTTACCCAGCAGATCCCACTCTCCATTCGTAATAAAACTGCTCAAGTCTCCGCCTGCGTCATCTTGCAGTTGAAGGTCCAGCTGCGGAAACAAATAAGTTGTTTAGAAAAACATAATCACTTAGTGCGGTTGATATTAAGTAAATTGAGTTTTATGTACGGTCAAGATTTTTTATTATTATAATCATTTTTGTTTTTATTAAAATTGCAATCGTATTTACAGCAAATGTATAATACTATGTTTTTGTTCATTCCATTCCTATATGGAAAATACAAAAATGGTTTTTGGTAAAATAAAAAAAGTGCTGGTATTGATGAATACTGAGAACAATTAAAGTTATAATTTTGCAACCACTGATCTGATCTGGCAGTAATTCCTCTCCATAAAAAGGAGAAACATCAAACATAGATAACTATCGATAAATTTGAGTGTTATTATCATCAGGAGGTATCAACTCATACGGATAAAACGAAGAAAGTAATAAATATTTTGGTACCACTCCAATTAACGAAATGGCGTTTGTATCAAAATGACAGTTATAGTCTCAGTTATCAGCTTGTTTGGATTTTGATTCACCTACACAGAGAGAAATTCATGCTCATTTTAAGCAAAAAATAAGCATTTTCGGGCTTGTTTTTAAACCAAGTATGCCACAATCTTTATTAAGGAAATTTTTAAGTACACATGCTAAAAAATCGTTGATTTTTTTTAAAATTAACAACGTTGGTTCTTATTTATAGCTTGTGATTTAAAAATTGAACATGGCAATGTTAATTTAAGATTCAAATAAAGAATATTTTACTTCAATTAAAAATTAGAATCATGCTGAACTTATAATATGCATCCATGGTTACCTTAGATTAAAGAGACCGAAAATATAACATTGCCCACTGCGCATGTTGTCTATTTTAACCCCAAGTAACCCATCAATTGAAAATCATTGTTTGCACGATGCCACCCGAATTGCTCCGATATTTCCATTCAACGCTCACCTCCGCCTGAGTTCAATCACCATTGACAGTTATTTTTTGATTTATTTGTTGGTGTTTTAGCAATTTAAAGTGTTCTAGTTATTCAATTTCAAGTTCAAAATGCCACGATGTATCTTGAAAAATTGAATATACTTATAATAAAAGTACCAATGTTATGAAAGGTAAAAAATATATTAGTTTTCAGTAGTAAATATTTATTAACATTTTGACATAAAGCGCCATGATCCTTTGGGCTGAATACTTCAGATCCGCTATGTATGTACTCATTCTGGCCTCCCCTTTATGACTAGGTCAAGGGGTGGGAGGTTTAGAATGATTTCCATAGAGGATGTCGGTGTACTTCTCAGTACTCCTGTAATACAAAGGCATGCCAGCCTCTGTACTCCTGAGAGGGTATTGAGGGCTGTTTTCTGGTTTACTTTTGGCCACCAAACAACCACTCCATAAGTTATCATGGGTCTTGTTATTGTCAAATTTAGCCAATGGACCATTTTTGGTTTTAATCCCCATGTTTTTCCAAATGCTCGTCTCCCTACAATGAGAGACATTTTACATTTGTTGGTCACTTTTCGTAAGAAAGTTTTCTATCTAGGATCAGACCCAGATATTTTACTTGGTTCGTTTTGTTTAGCCTTCCTCTAAACAGAGTCTGAGTTTCTAAAACCTCCAACCTTTTTTAGAGTAAAGGTTATGAGTTGTGCATTGTCAGGGTTTACCAAGAGGTTTTCCTTAACGCACCACATTTCTGTCAGCCAAAGAGCTCTTTGCATGAGTTCAAAGACTGTGGTTTGGTGTTTCCTTCGGATAAGGATGACTATGTCATCGGCATATCCTTGGGCGTACAGCCCTTGATTGTTTAGGGTTATAAGCAGTTCATCTGCCATCAGGTTCCACAATAGAGGAGAAAGGACTCCACCCTGTGGGCACCCCCTCTGGATATTCACCTGCATGGTTTCACTAAACATTTAAAAGTTAAAAACCAAACCAAACAAGATATTCCTATTTAAGCTGGGAAAAACCAAATACACTATTTGAATTTAAATAAAACAATACAAGGTTACGACCAAACAAACATTTTAAAAAGTTTTATAAAATCAAGACAACAAATTAAAAATGGATTAGAAATTAATAACTTAAGTTTTTATAGATATAAGATAGTAAAACCACTGACCTACCCTCTATCATCAAATAGGTTAACAACTAGAAGGCAGGTATATGTAATTGTTCTAGAGCTAGGGACACCTGCATCGAAATTTAATCCATTTTTCCAAGAATAACGAGAGAGGTACTATTATATTGGTATTTATTATTGAGTTCATCGTATTATACAGGGTGTCCCAATGAAAAGTAGCCCGTTTCTAGAGCTTATAACTTTTTACGGTGAATTTAAAAGAGGAAATTTTTAAAAAAACACCCTGTATAGGTAATACATAATTTCTGTGTCACTGAAGCAAAACATAGCAAAATAACACATAGCAAAAACCGCACGTTTCTACGATCAATGGTTGAAAAGTTATAAGCTCTGGAAATGGGCTACTTTTCATTGGGACACCCTGTATAGTAAACGTTTTAATGCACTTTAATTTTAATAAACGATTAGAATATATGTTTCAAATATTTTATTTTAATGTAAATATATTTTATGTTACGTTTTGGGATTTTATTGCTTAAAGTGGAAGCCAAAAAATGTAAATAAATAATGAAGCATATTTGAATGAACCGCTGTTATGTTGTGACACTCTTTTTTTCTGTTTTGTATTTGGCCTCTAAATGCCAAGTCAATCAGCCAATGTCAATCAACCAATGTGTAAAAAATGCGTTTTATGCTATAAATAATTCGCATCACTTTCCAAAAATTTACACTGAATGCGACTACCTTACAAATTTTATCTGTGGTGGCATCCAATGAATTTTGTTACATGAAAAATGTATCAAGTTATAATACTACTTTTTTTATATACTAAAAATATTCCTACACATTTACGGTGTATTTATTTTTTCGTTTGTGCTCTGCTGCATGTTTTGGTTTAGCGCCAAACGAAGAAAAAAAAAGTTGCAACAAGATTTGTGTTCTGAATGGAACGGCCTTTAACTTTGAACATATGTATAACTCTGATAATATTGTGAATATTTGGAATAGCTGTGTTACAAGAGTGTAATAGTTTATGTAAATGTAATCTATTTTGTGTGTGCGAGTCTGAGAGTATGCAAAGCAGAGCAGGACTAAGGACACAGATATAATATACGTATATACTATTTTAAATATACGAGGTAGTTAGTTCTAAACATGATACTGGCATTCACACAGCGACTGTATTATTCAAAAGATGTAAGGTTGCATAAAAAAGTATAATAGAAGGTTCGGTAATTTATTTATTTATTTATTACAATGCTCTACAGGCAATCCCAATTACAGAGCATGAATAAAAGAACACATATATTATGTAGACTAAGTGGTACAAATGTACAAAAATTTGTAATCAGCTAGTTAAACCTTTATTGAAATTGTTTTAAGTGGGCGCAGAAAAAGTATAGTACGTTACACGAGTTGTAAGCCCATTACACACTCTTAAAATTTACGCACTTGCCGCCGCGCGACTTCGTGTGTAAATTTATTCACTTCGTGCGTAATGGGTTACTTACAACTCTCGTTACGTAATATACTATTACTCTAGATTTGTATTATATTTTGGGGCGCCAACCCTGGCATATTGTGTTTATTTATACATTATTGTATTAGATATATATTTAATTAAGAAGAAGGATGAGGAAAGGTCGATTTAAGTCGGGATCTGTTACTATAATTAAATTTGGGTATGATTAATCTGTAACTCAGTTTGACCTAGAAACAGACTCGACAAAAAATTCAAAATAAAATATAAATTCTCTAGACTTTACTTCATAGTCGTCGCACACAAAACACAAAACAAGTCCCATTTGACAAATTGCTTTACTTCTTGTTCGGAAAAATCATTTATGATACTTTACCAATTTTGTTTTTGAAGTTACGTCTGATTCAGTCGCAAGAACTACAGCGACATTGACTTGTTTTAGTTCCTTTTTGAGAATAGAGATAATTTTTCAACCTCCTAATCGTAAATAGATGTGTACAACACTGTGTACAATTTATCTTGCTGATAGAAATAGATAGTCATTGTTTTTGTGCCAATTTAAAATAATTTGAAAACTGTACGGTATCTTTATCTTAATACAATGACATGACAAACACACATTTACGTTTTAAAAAAAATAGATAATTTTGACGTGAAATTTGGAAAACGTGTTTGATAAGGATATTTGAACCTTAATCGGGTGTAAAACGTTAAACGTGAATAGAAAAAACACATGCATTGTTTCTATATCGCCTACTTAATATCTTCAATTTAAGAGATAATATCGAGGGTTCAGAGCCAAAATCCGCAGTCTTTGTGCCCTTTCTGTTAAGGTGTACTCCGTTTTGTGAAATTTCGTATCCAAGCATTATTTATTATTTCGAAGAATCGATACATGCATAAAGATCAATTTTTATTCAAGTAAGGATCCTGTAAATCAACTTTGTTTCCATAAATTACGTGAACTTTTTTTTTTGTATGATTTGGTAAGATGTGGTGGGACCCGCCCCCTCCCCTTACGTAAGAGTTACCATATAATTTTTAAATAATTAAATTTATTTAATATGTTCATGTATTTTGAAACTTTATACCACTTAATACTTAAGCGTTTATATTGATGTCTTCTATGTACTACATTTCTTCTAAGAAATAAGTGGAGATACATTCTTTTTGGTTTACATAAATGTATATCTATCTATAACACTGTTTCGTAAATTTTTACGCACATGATGCTCTATTATCTGTTTTGGGTGCAAATTATGAGAGAATCGTTAATATAATCTATATATAATAATAATAATAATAATAATAATAATAATAATAATAATAATAATAATAATAATAATAATAATAATAATAATAATAATAATAATAATAATAATAATAATAATAATAATAATAATAATAATAATAATAATAATAATAATAATAATAATAATAATAATAATAATAATAATAATAATAATAATAATAATAA